CCTTTCTCGGCCCCAGGAAAATTTCTCTAAGTTCTTTTCAAAAAGAACTTAGAGGATTTCCCGATCTGAGCCCTGTGAAATTTTCTCTAAATTCCTAAAATTTCTCTAAGTTCTTTTCAAAAAGAACTTAGAGGATTTCCCGATCTGAGCCCTGTAAAATTTTCTCTAAATTCCAGAAATTTCTCTAAGTTCTTTTCAAAAAGAACTTAAAGGAATTGCCCTTTCTCGGCCCCAGAAAAATTTCTCTAAGTTCTTTTCAAAAAGAACTTAGAGGATTTCCCGATCTGAGCCCTGTGAAATTTTCTCTAAATTCCAGAAATTTCTCTAAGTTCTTTTCAAAAAGAACTTAGAGGAATTGCCCTTTCTCGGACCCAGCAAAATTTCTCTAAGTTCTTTTCAAAAAGAACTTAGAGGATTGCCCGATCTGAGCCCTGTGAAATTTTCTCTAAATTCCAGAAATTTCTCTAAGTTCTTTTCAAAAAGAACTTAGAGGAATTGCCCTTTTTCGGACCCAGGAAAATTTCTCTAAGTTCTTTTCAAAAAGAACTTAGAGGATTTCCTGATCTGAGCCCTGTGAAATTTTCTCTAAATTCCAGAAATTTCTCTAAGTTCTTTTCAAAAAGAACTTAGAGAAATTGCCCTTTCTCGGACCCAGGAAAATTTCTCTAAGTTCTTTTCAAAAAGAACTTAGAGGATTTCCTGATCTGAGCCCTGTGAAATTTTCTCTAAATTCCAGAAATTTCTCTAAGTTCTTTTCAAAAAGAACTTAGAGGAATTGCCCTTTCTCGGACCCAGGAAAATTTCTCTAAGTTCTTTTCAAAAAGAACTTAGAGGATTTCCTGATCTGAGCCCTGTGAAATTTTCTCTAAATTCCAAAAATCTCTAAGTTCTTTTCAAAAAGAACTTAGAGAAATTGCCCTTTCTCGGACCCAGGAAAATTTCTCTAAGTTCTTTTCAAAAAGAACTTAGAGGATTTCCTGATCTGAGCCCTGTGAAATTTTCTCTAAATTCGAAAAAATTCTCTAAGTTCTTTTTTGAAAAGAACTTAGAGGAACTGCCCTTTCTCGGCCCCAGGAAATTTCTCTAAGTTCCAGGAAACTTTCTCTAAGTTCCAGAAATTCCTCTAAGTTCCGGACAAAAAGAACTTAGAGGAAATTGTCCCTTTTTCTATTATGAAAAGTGCGTGGTTTTGAGGCCAGAACCAAAGATTTGGGCGGTGTTTTCATAATAGATATTAATATATTTCAGCTTTTTCCATTATGAAAATCTAGGCAAAATCATTGGTTCTGGCCTCAAAACCGCTCATTTTTCATAATAGAAAAAATGACAATTTCCTCTAAGTTCTTTTGGAAAGGAACTTAGAGGAATTTCTGGAACTTAGAGAAAGTTTCCTGGAACTTAGGGAAAAGTTCCTGAAACTTAAGGAAACTGGTTGACAAAGGGCGAAAAAAATACAAACTGGCATTTGAATTCGTTTCCAAGCTTGCTGCTGGTTCTGATCTTGTTCATCATTGGCCAGAACCTGTTGCAAGGTCATTGGTGGTGACACGATTATGATCATGGAAACATTGGATATTCTTGTAGCTTGGTGAGGGAATTCAATCTGACAAGCCTTCCAAAGCAGCATAGTGTGCAATCTCTTGCTGCAAAGACTCCAGAGTGGGTAACTCTGATGTAGAGGATGGCGGGGCCTGAAGTTAAGCAACACACACACTAGTTTAGTGGGGGACAGTGACAAAGGTAATTCAGGCAGGTTCCAGAAGAGTATTGGGCTCCACACCATCATGACACGCCGTTTCCGAAATTCTTCGTCTGACTCTCCAGGGCGCTGAACAAGCTTAAATCCTCAGCTGTTCACAAACAAAGTGTGAGAACAATACTGACAAACCGTGACAGTGACAAGATCTCTCTCTCTCTTGTTCATAAGGATCATAAGCATGCTAATGATGTGCTGCGCAGAAGCCCTGCAAGAGCCACCACCCAATCATGCGGACAACTATGTCATCTGACAGTGTTGTAGACACTGACAACTCCTTCTTGCACTTGCGCTCCTTGCCCGTGGTCTCGCTGTTTGAAGGGTGACACGGGCACGTGACACCCGGAAGCAAAGGCTGTGATGATGTCAGGGTTAAGGGACCCTGCACCCTGGTTTATTCCTAAAACACTAACAAAAAAGTTACACAAAGAAAAGTACATGTGTCTTGTCTGGTCCAGCCACTAGCCCTTTGTCTGTGCGCTTCACAACAGGGATGTTGTCTATCCAAACAGTGCTAGCATTGAGCATCGAAGATGGCTCAAAACTTGCAGCCACTCTTCCAGCTCTTGGAAGCCTTGGTGGCCGAAGAAAATCATCCTCTTCCGTCTCAACAAAATCCTCTGCACCAGCTGGAGCTCGTGGAAGAGAAGTGTCAATGCTTGCCACAGCTGGAGCTGGACCTGGCACTGACAGAAACGACCTGTCGCTCATCGTCTTCAATGCATTGTTTCCACAGTCGCATAGATTCATCAGTCCTGAGCAGGAGGCATTCAAACATCACAGACATTGAAATTGAAACAAAATTATCAAACCAAAGGCATTGCACAAAGACTGCTCTTGGAACAAGACCACATCATTTCACTGACATTGAGTTTGACACTATCAGCATAGAATGCGTGACGCCAAGTCTCTTTGTGCAAAACTCTTCTAGGATGAAATAATCCTTTCCCTGCATGGAAGCATCGAATTCTGAGACAAAATGGTGTTGGCGAATGTGTAATTCAAACAAATTTGCCAAGCCTCCAAACAAAACCAATACAATACATCGAGTGGTAAATGGCAACCACTTTGCCTTTGTGTGGAGAGTGGAGGGTACGTAAAACCATGGCCGTCCTGTCCTGATAAGCTTTGAGGAAAGGCTTTGTTGAGTATCTGATGACTTGCAGTATTGCATCAAAATGCATGTGTCATTGAATCCATTGAATCCATGCATACAACTACACAACCTGCTGAATACCAAAACATGTCACCAATACTGATGATCCGTCCCATTGGAGACTGTGACAATCGAGGCTGCGGCTGTGAAGACTGTGACTGTGACTCAGAACACCAAATTTTCCACTGATGCTGCCTGGCAAGCATGAGAAAGAAATCCATCTTGAATCTTGCTCGAGCCAGGGTAGAAGCCCCTGGGCCACCACGCGGCATGGTGTCAAAGCTGACCCCGTCTCCACTGACAGCTGCCAGAAAGTCTGAAAGTTCACCACTTGCAACATGGGACGCTGTTTGGAGCACTGTTCTCAGTCTGCGCTGGCTTCGAAGTTGCACTCCCAAAGCCATGTACTCCTTTGCTAGAAAACTCCAGAAGCTAGCACCGTGGACTCCACAGCAATCAAAAAAGAGATCAAACCCAAGTTCCAAGGTGGCCAAGTTTCAAAAAGCTGGCGCAAAGTATATGACGCACCACCACGGCTTAGCCTCTTTGTAGGTCCCTGAGCCTGGCCCTCAAGCAAGGTGGCACTGTGCTCACGATCCACCTTACTTCAACATTGGCTGGCATCCTGACAAAAAAGCATTTCTATGTGGGCATGTCTAGAAGTGTTACTCTAAGAACCCATGGACCAATGGACAGTGACCATGACCAGCACTATGACAGAGACATGACATAACTGTGATCACACAACAATTGCACGAGTTTCCTGAGTAGGCTCTCGCGTGATCTCCTGCAAAGTTGCCATGGCCCTGTGATAATTCTGGACCTGAGAGACAGTAGTGAAGCGACAGGGTGCACTGGCACTGACTAAGGTTTCATCCTTCTGTTTCATCCTTCTGTTAGGTGCTGAGTCTGAGTTACATTTCCCCGCATGCTCCAAGCTGCCATACCGAAGGATTGGTGCAGCTGAACCAGCAAGCAAGTCATAGGCATGACTTGCTTTGGCCGCCACATCTACCAGCTTCTCCATTGCCATGGTAGGATTGGGATGGTAGGATAGTAGGATGGACTGATGGACTGTGACATGGCTGTGACAGTGACTTGCGCCATGTTCACAAATCGACTGTACTATGTCTTGAGAAAATCCAAGCGTCTTCAATGAGTGTAAGGAATCTTTTGAAGATACAATGTAATGTAATGAATCTCTGCCTGACAGTGACAAATGACAACAATGGTAAAATATATGGTGTGAAACAGCTGCAGAAGGACACGTAGAATCCGACAAAACACATACCCAGCTCTAGCTCAATTGATATGACCATTGTCAAACTGTCACACTGGAGCTGCAACTCAGCACCAACTCAGCACAAACACAGCCTCTGTTGCAAAACAAACAAAAACAGTGTTTCTGTATGTTTTTTATTGAGGTTTCATTTCTATTTCTATTTACGTTGTTTAAAATCATTGTGGGCAGTGGGCATATATTGTAATACCAGGAATCTGTTACAGCAGTTCCAGTGTTCCAGCATCTCCTGCATTTGTGTTGCCCTGGCATCTGCTACAGTACGGCTGATAACATTCTCCACGTGGCAAGTTGCAAAGAGGCCAGCACCTGACAACACAAGCATGCTGTCAAATAGTAGAGCTCTTGAGACAATCATGTTGTCAGTGTGTCAATCACGTTGCCTGGCCTCACCAGAAATGTGTCTTTCATACTTCTGATAAGGCGTGGGTACACAGCATGTAGTATGTAGTTGCTCTAAGTTGCTTCAAACTGCCAATGAAAAACATTGTTTTTGTAAAAGTTTCATAGAAAACACCTATTTCTATGTTGTTTTTATTGTGTGCTAGCTTACTGTGGTGAATGCATGTTTTGTCATTTGTTACTATGTTACAACCAATGAAGAAAGAAACATTGTTTTTCCATGTTTTTTCATGGAAAACACTTATTTCTACGTTATTTTTATTGTTTGCTAGCTTACTGTGGTGACTGTATTTTTGTCATTTGTTGCCATGTTACAACTAATGAAGAAAGAAACATAGTTTTTTTCGTGTTTTTCATGGAAAACACCTATTTCTACGTCGTTTTTTCATGTTTAGCTTATTGCGCGCATGTATTTTTTGGAATGCGCTCCCCAAACTACTGGGGACTGGGCACAAAACCAACCAAAAAACAAACATTTTTTTGTGTTTTTCATTGAAAACGACGTATTTCTACGTCGTTTTTTGTGGTTGATTTGTCTTGATTTTGTCTGCTTATCCCCGGCCCATGTGTTTGGACACATGAAAACCTCTACTTCCCCAAGGAAACCCTCTATGCCCTTTTTGGAAAATACTCCCCCTGACCCACGGCATTTAGCACACGTGGCCGCCCAATAAGTACGCAACTCCTGGCAAGTTCTGGAAAGTGTCTCTGTGTGTGTGAGTGCGTTTGTTCCCTTGAGTGCGTTTCTGACCACGAGTGTGTTTCTACGCATGGCTGCGTTTGTACACACACACATACACGCACGCTTGCACACTCGCACTCTTCTACAACACCGATCTCACTCAGTGTCCTCGCTCCAAAATTTGTTAAGAAACTGATCCGCAAGAGAACGATTGTTTCCTTGAGTTTTAGCTTCAAACTGTGCATTCCCCCATTCTTTTCCAACACTCACATACTTAGTTTTTACCGCGTCGTCTAGACGCGTTGGGCTTGCGCACATTTTTGGCCACATGCGTGTCTTCTCTTGAGTACGTTGTTTCCCTTGAGTGCGTTGTCTTTCTTGAGTGCGTTTCTGCTCGCGAGTGCGTTTCTTGCCGTGAGTGCGTTTCTAGTCTTGAGTGCGATTCTGCTCGTGAGTGCGTTTCTGCTCGTGCGTGCGTTGCTGCTCGTGAGTGCGTTTCTTGCCGTGAGTGCGTTTCTGCTCGTGAGTGCGTTTCTTGCCCAGTATGTGTTGGGTTTTCCTGTGGTGTGAGTGCGCTTCTTGCAGTGATAGCTATTTCTGAGCAATGAGCAAGCAGCTACCCAGCAGCTACCAGATCCAAAACATTCAACTCGCCACTTACGACAATGGTCAAATCCTTTGCCAACTGCAAGTGAATCCGCAGGTGTTTTTCCAACAGGCAATGATCCTTCATTCAGTACTTGAGCCCACAGGCAATCACTTGCCCGTCTTTCCTTGACGTGCGCAATTCAGACTTTCCTAAGCACGATGCGCTTTTGGCATTGCTTTGTAACATCAAGCACTTCACATGTGGTGTGAGAATCAACACGCAGGATTGATTTGACAATCAACGCGGATGCTTCCTGCCAAACAAAGTGGTCTCCGGGTCCTTGAGAAGCATGCTCCAAGAAGTCATGCAGCATGTAGTGAAAGTCAAACGCCTCAGCTCGCTCCCACGTTGGCCAGGCTGCTCAAGGCTGGCAATCTCGAACTCAAACCAATAGACCACCACCATTGCTCACACCACACTGGCTTGCAGATCAGCTTGCAGATCGAATGCGCAAACAGCTGGACAATCATACAATTCACCCAATCGGCTCGCACACCTCTCAGAGCACTTTGAAGAAGCCGCGACAAACATTAATTAGACATTAGACTCACAATCAATCGGTGACGCCCACTGAGCAAAACAAAAACTCGCCCTGGCACCACCTTGCTTTTTTTGCGCTTGTCAAGCGTCTTCAATGGTCCGGTCAAAAACTGGCTTGGTGCTTCTTCGGCCAAGCTCGGGCTCGTGCAACCTTCAGATCAGTCACTTTTTTTCCACGAGTACGGACGCCGTGTGGGCATGGTGCCCAGGTCATCGTTGAAGGAAGGGAAGAACAGACAGATGGTGGAGAAAGGAACGAAGGCCCCAAAACCAACCCAAAACCAAAAACCCAAGCCCGCAGGCCGAAACTCCACCATCTTGTAGTCTTCCCTCTACACTAGGTGAAACGTGTGAAACTGAGACTAGTGGCAATTGGTGGGCCTGAATTCGCAAAAGAAAAGGACTGCAGCGCAAGCTGTGTTCATGGAAAGCCGCCTAGGAGGCTTCAAACGGACTTTCCTTACCAAGTGTTGGTGACCAGCGGCCACACCACAGTGTGGCAAAACAAGGTCACTTTGCAGGTCAGGTGTCTCGCAATGCTCCAGCAGTGGTTGTAATCAGGCCAACCGAATGTGCGAAGAGCTAAGCAGCAATCCGAGGAAAAGACCATACTTGCAGCACAACCCGTTCAACCGGTGGCGCATACAAGGCCAGTCGCATGCTGCCAGACAGAATTCAAATACGGCGGCAATTCCTAGCGAGAGAAACCTGCAGCTAAGGGTGAACCGGGCACCACCTCCCCGTGGGGAGGCAGACCCAACACCCTTCGGCACTCAAAGGTGCCAAAAGGGGATGTCACTTGAGTCTGTGAGGCGCTGTGTAATGGCAAAAAGTGAGAGGTGCGTGCAAGGCCCGTGTGAAACCTGTGAAACATTGAGCTCTCCTAGCATGATATCTGTACCTCTTTGTACAAAATTGGAAATGTCGGACATCAACAGCGGGAACTAAGGTTCCCCCTGGTCATCCTTCATTGCCACTATCTACCACCCGCCGTGTAGGAACGCAGAACTAAGGTTCTCGCTCCTATCGGCTCACTTCGCAGCGGATGGCGAGAAGAGGTCATGGTTCTACTTGGTGTCTGTGCATTTTGCTTGCCGTATATGCCTGGAAATCCTCCTTTTCTAGTGCTCGAAAACTGGCACTTGGCTCAACTCACTGCTCACGTCGCACTTGCTTCTCTCCTGCCTCTGAGGCATAGCTTCGTTGAGGCTGGGTCTAGATAGTTCTCTCGCCAAAGGTCGTTTGCGTTATAGGTCATCGAATGCTATGGTGCCGAAAAACTTGCATCTTGGGGCGACCACAACCCGTAGCATTTGACACCTACACCAGTGACCGACTACTGTGTCTGGCAGGTGGACGATTTGCAGTTGTCGACATCACCGCCACGCCGAGACCCTTCTCTATCCGACAGCCTCTGGGCACTTACTCCATGCATAACGGAGGGCAACTATGGTTAGTTACTCGTGTTGGGGAGTACTGTTTCGCAATTGCTGGCCTACTCCGGACCCGAGCTAAGGCTCGCACCCAGACTCTAACAAAATTGATAGCAGGGCCACGGCAGCTGTGGATGGAGGGATGATCCTCTATCCTAAACCAGGGGTGTAGCCCATGTCTGGGATCATATGCAGCCAGGGTGGCCATTTCATGGCCGGACAGATGGCAAAAGCATTTTCTTCAGCATAAACCCCTCGCCATCTGCGTGTTCCGGGCATTCTGACCAGCCTCCGTAGGGCAGTGCAGTCCAAGAAAGCCCTACTTCCAATGTACTTGAGAGTAGGCGGAATGGCAAGCTCAACAAGGGCGGCACAGCTCATAAAGGCTTTAACTCGGATTGTATGGAGAGTTGTCGGTAGGAAGACTTCCCGAAGGCTAGTGCAGTGGCCAAAAGTGAATTCCGGAATTTCTTCAATCATGGTGTTACAGAGGTCAACACTCTTAAGCAGTCGACAACTGTCACAAGCGTGCGCTCCTATGGCTACAAAGTGCTTTGGGAGAGCAAGTGTGTAGATGCCTGTAGAGCTGAGGCAGCCCGGAGCTAGCTCTCTGGTCCTGTCTTGCAGGGTTAACCCGTTCAATTCAGATCGGGGGGATGGAAACTCACTCACGGTGACCTCTGCAAGGTTTATGCACCCTTGGAAGAGGTATTGCCCGAAATTGGTTTCCCCATTGAACACGTTTACAGCTCCACCCGATGCATACACACGCTGCAAGGAACAACATTCCGAAAAGGCTTTGTAACCAAAGTCGCGACAACCCGGAGCCAAGACACTATTTAGGAGCTTGCAGTCCCGAAAGGCATTATCTGCAATGCCTACCACTGTGGCCGGCAGTTTGACAATGCGGAGTTGCCGGCAATCTTGCCACGCCTCTGCACCAATGTGCCTGATCCCTGACTCGACGCTAACGTGTCGCAAGCGTGGCACACCTGCAAAGGCCCATTCTGGGAGAGTTTCTTCTGAGTTCATTGGGACATGAACAGCTAAGGGGACTTGATCAATAGGATAACCACCGAGCTGTTCTTGTTCTGGCAGGGTAACACTACAGTCCCTGAAGATCATGGTGTATTCTCTACCTTGCTGCAACTTATCCCAGATTGGGTCCTCTAGGTAGGTTTGCGTGGTGGTGTGCAAAAAGTCAATGACGCACCCAAAAACTTGGAGGTCAGTGACCGAGGCCAGATAATCCATAACCTGGTCTTCTAAATCTGTAAATCGGTCGAACTTGGCGACACTAAGAGAGACCTTAAAGGTTACCCCCGAAAGCGTAGTCAGCAGCAGGGGGCATTCCATGACTGGCTCCTTTTCAAAGGGAGTGCTACTCATGGATGAACTGTCACGCTCTTTTTGCGGCAGGCTATTTGCTATCATTGTGCGAGCCACTGGTGTCCAGTCTGCACATGGGCTGTTCCTTCGGCCGGTGATGTTTCCTTAAGACAGATGCTAAGGCACCTACCTTGAGCCTCTCATGGCCCGGCATAATGCTAAGGGTACACATGGTTTAGCTCCTTGTCAGAGCGGTTGGCATGGCAATATTCATGGCAATGTAGCTCCGTAGAGTCTACCATGGACTGGCATGATATTGGCAATATTCGTGGCTGAGTTCCTCGTCAAAGGCATCAGAATCTGGTCCTTCCGCGGGGGGGGAGCAGTTCCAGCCAATGAGGTTTTTCAAATTTGTCGCGCATAAAAAAAGCATTGTGCTCTGCCTGCACCCACTGTTCAACGTCTCCCCAATCTAGGAGGGTAAACCGTTGCAGCTGCTCGCACCCGCAGAAAGCACGGTTGCCGATGTCACTGAGTTCTGTCGGGATGACAACTTCCTGCAGCACAACACAATTAAGGAAGGCTTCTTTTCCAATTTGTATGAGGCGCGGTGGAAGCCATATGCACTGCAACGCTACACAGTGGGCAAAGGTGGAAGAGAGCAGGGCTGTGATCTCTGTGCTCATGAGGTTGACTTCCACTAGACTTTTGCAATTTTCACAGGCCCTCGGCCCGATGTTGTGAAAGTCATTCGGCAAGCACAGCTGCTCAATGCCTGCTCCACAGAATGCGCCTTCAGGCAGTGCTCGTGGTTTATTCGTAGAATCCATGTCAAAGGTGATAGTTGCAAGCGTGAGGCAACTCTCGAAAGCATATCTGCCAAGCTGCGCGCCTGGTGCCAGGACGCAGCTGTCCTCTGTTTCGCGCTTGACCCCAACGCTGCCTAGGGAACAGCACTCAGCAAACACCCTTTGTCCATAGTGGACACACCCTGGTGCAGCGACCTGACGCAGCACATAGCACCCCATGAAAGTCCCTTCCGCCAGACTGACGACCGAAGTTGGAAGCTTGACAATCTGTAATTGCTGGCAACTCTGCCAGGCCGCAATTCCTATATGTTGGATGCCAGTTGCCACTTCTACGTGTCGGATTGAGGGCGCCGCGTAGAAAGCTCTGTCTGCAATTTCCCCTCTCGGGTTGGCCGGGACACGAACAGCTCTGGGGTAGCTCTCCTTGCCGTCATCCTGGAACTGCCAGATGGAATGCCCATCTACCATGCAGGGACGAACAACAATTTGGAGCTGCGGTCGATGCAAGAGCTCAGTGCGGAATGCCTCTGGCAGGGGTTGCTGCGTTTGGAGGTTGAGCAACTCTAATTCACAGCCAAAGACATCTAGCTCAGACACTGTCGGCAGAAAGCAGAGGATGTCATCTTCAAGCTCTGCTATATCCTCATAGTGGGAAAGGTTTGCTTGCATCGTATATTCCGTGCCAGCTACGGTAACCAACTCGAGGTTAACTTCCCAGCGATCTTGGGGGGGCGGCATTGCTATGTAGGTGCTTGGTTTGCTTGAGCCAAACAACTGTGGTACAGGAGGTGTGTCCTTTGCAAGGCCATAGTGGCAACTAAGCCCCAATAGAGAAGGTGACTAAGGTCACCCATCTCATGGCGGAGGTTGCGCGACACGGAGGCTGTTGTTGTGTGGGGAGACTCCTGATGAGGACTACACTACTGCCACCACCCGTAGGACCACCCTGAGGG